CGTCATGAATCAAAGTCTCTGACATTTAACATTAGTATTTAAATTCAGGATATTTACAGAAATGTGTGAACATGATATTAATTCGAGATAGGATATTTTATAGTGTTTGTAAATGTTACAAAGGAAATTACCAAAAATATATAGCTTTCCATATTGAGAAGACATGTTCCTCTACTCCCCCTCTCCAGATTTCCTGGCCCGAGGAGCAATATGTTTGTCCTAAGCTCTGAAGCTCTGAACGCGCTTGATAGAAACCAGATGTGGAGATAGTGAGATTTTATTGCCCGAGCCAGACTACCGACTTTCCAATCTTATTACAGGTTGAAGTAAGTGTGGGCGGGGGGTATATATCTTCTTAACCGACCAAGCTAGATAGTCACGAAACACGATAAAGTATATCAGTAGAAAGGCTCAACTTGACTTTTTTATTTCAAATCGTTATTTCATAACATAATAGTTGCTATGCCCTTATGCTCCCCCTCCCACCCTGAACTCTTGTAATAAATAGTCATTTTTTTTTCATATGAAAGATGAGAGCGTAAATTAACTTATCACAACCGCTCACGTTTTGCATAACGTTTTTATTAATGTTTCATATTACTTTTAATAACTGCTGAATGCTTTCCCTGTTAGAGGGTACAATGACATAAACCAGTGAAAGTAATGGAACGTGTCATATATTTATTCCGATATTAATCAAAATATATGTGGCTCACATTTTCACTTTTTGTTGAAAGTTTTCTCACATCGAACTTGATTGATTGGGTTGGAGTGTCTACATCTGTAACGGTGTTTTAAAGGGTCATAAAGTGACCAATTTTTGAGATAGCGTTATGCGGGACTTCTTGCTACAGATGAGATGCAAATAAAACGGTATAATGATCGACGTGAAAATGCCTTTAGTCTGTTTTTATGCTTTCCATGTACGCACATCTACTATAATGTATATGATTCGAAATTATCAACATCGGATTACTTAAAATAACCATCCAAAGATCATGTACATTACGGCGCGTACACACAATTCGTTTGATTTGTGGTTTTTAATGAACTTAAATATAGATGCTGCGATAAAGACCATTCAACTGAATAATATATATATATATAGGGCGAAAAAGAAATTGAGACGTCCCTGGAGTCGAGACAAGAATCCCGATTCTGTAATAACAGCTAGGTTTGTCTCTTTTAAATTAATTTGAATTGTGCTCTATAACAAGAGAGGCAGTCAATGTGAGGGTCGGTGGCACTTTTAATGGTGGGGATCGCGTATTTAAATTCAGAGATTTCGGGCATGAAAGAAAATGTTGTGGTTTCCAGGGGTCAGTTTGTAAGATCAAAATTCAGGCCAGGGCGCTGTTCTGAATCTTTCCCTTGAAGTGGTAAATTGAAACGGGGATGTTAGCCTTTAATTTTGCCCAAGGGAGTACGGCGTTGTGTAACAGTAAATTGCATTGGTATGCATACTTATACTACGTAGTTATACTGGATCTGTCCTCTACCATTAGTCTATCAAATCGCCACAATGTCTTTGGTCAGATCACTGGGTTTTCATGATATTCCCTTCACTGTATACGCTCCTAAAGCAATACAATTGGGATGCTAAGTTGTCATCCTGTAGCAAAACATCACTTGAACATTATCTGAATGATATGGGATATACAGCCTGTGAAAGCCTAGGTATAAATACCAACAAGGTATGCAGCACATCTCTAAACCAGCCCCGTCAATCAAACACACATTATGGTCAGTTGCGTCTTAGTTTAAATGCAGTCAAACAGGCAAATAGGCTTTAATTACGAATACATTGCTCGTTTATTAATAAACTTTGTTTGTTTTAGATCCGCTGATTCGAAAATAATATAATCCACTCCTACTAAACGCCTATATTTTGGCAGTTTTATAGTGACCATACCAGTCCAGTGGACATTTAGGAAATTCAGGGGAATAAACGCGTCCATATGAAGAGCTTATACTAACTTGAAACGGAATAAAGAACGCACGATCATGACAGTGAGTGAGTACCCCCCCCCTCCACATGCACACAATCACCCACGAATGTAACTGTCTTGAAAACAAGAGGCAGAGAACGCCATAAATATTTTAGTAGTATTAAGCATCCTAAAGGTAGTCACGCAGAAAAACTTTTTTGTTCTTTAAAAAATATGAGAATATATTATAGCAAATATAATACAATTTTAAATAATTGAAATGCATTTCTTTCTAACATTCAGTTTACGTACGTTTTTTTGGTAGCCTCTGAAAGTTTTAAACCTCAAATATTGGAGACCATAATAGAGTCAGCCAAGGACACGTTTGGGGAACACGTTTGAACTCGTAATGATGGACATTTACAGGTGTAGGACCAGTACAGAGCTTCTTGTGAACAGTTTAGAACCATGGGACCGAACTTGATTTGAGGACCAGAAAAGAGGCTCAACACACGTAGGCCTATACCTTTTCCATGCAGTGTCTGTGCGGTAGCCGTGGGAAATCATGCGAAATAGTAGGGATTTACGGCCTCCTTAGCTTCTTCGATTTTGTCAAGTTAAACCTTTAAACAATTTTTTTTGAATTATAAACTGTAACAATATCGTAGATGACACTGGACAGTTCCCGTCCAGGTATTGTTCCTTGGACTTGCGGTGATGGTGATAATGGTTGAACCTGTATAAGTGTTGTTGGTCTCTTTCTGTTCCTCCTGTGGTAGTCTTATACCCCTATTCCACACCGATTACGAATTCCTGGAACCGCCAGGAATTGATAAATCCCAGGTTCTTACTTTAATCGTTATAAATTCTTTAACTCTGGGAATCGTAAAGCATTCGTCTGACCACAATTTGACAACGATTCTGTAAAGCAGGGGTGAGGGACTTTTTATACCTGTCTTGAGGGAACATTCCTCGAAATTTCAAGAAAAAATAATCAATATTACATTTATAATGGGGGCGTCTCGATAGTCCGAAGGTTCATTGGTCCGAAGGTTCATTGGTCCGAAAAGTAGTAACGTTTTTATCGATTTTTTAATCAAGGGTTCATTGGTCCGAAGGTTCTATAGTGAACATTCGGACCAATGAACCTTCGGACTATTGAACCTTCGGACTATCGCTACGGCCCCTTTATAATCGTACCAGAGTCGTAGGCGCATTTGCCAGATACTTAGCTTTCCTAACTGAATCCTCATATTCCTAGGCTATTCATAAGTCATTCTTGCAAATCGTAGCCATTTCTTGACAACATTCGTGCTGATCAAGCAGAATCCCACGAAAATTCTTAAGTCTACATTAACAAATCTGTAACTGAATCCTACAGGATCAAAATCTCTATTAGTGGGATTCTGCAAATTTTCACGATTCCTTTAATTTATCAATTCTTGGCGGTTCTTGGAATTCATAGTCTGTATAGAATAGGGGCACTAGGAGGCATAAAAACCAATGAAGACTTGCATGAAGTGGAAGTTGTTTCTTTTTTTGAACACAAGGGTGCTAGAATCGTAGGTGGCTGCACAACGCATAAATCTTCAAGGAAGCCGCACTGAAGGTGTACAGCAAATGCACTGGGAGTGGAAGAGCTCGGTACGATCACTTTGTAGCGTCCATGGACCTACATTTAAACTGGCTGTCGGCTGGATATTAGGTTTTTAAAATGCATGGTCTGCCGGGCTCTGCAGCACGTTACAGACCGTATACACAGGGATAAAACAACCATGATGAAATGACCTTCTTGTATTTGAAAAAAAAAAAAAAAATTAGCTTGATGTACTAATGACAGAAGGCTAGGAATGTAAGGCTGCGTTCACATGAAAAATCTATTTTCTAAAAATCTATTTGCGGTATCTTGTGATCACGGTCTGTGCCCTGAATACCCTGCGGCGTAATTACTGGCAGCGCGGAGAATTAATTGCAGCCTTGGAAGTAACTGGCTCGCGCTGCCCGTATTCACGCTGTGGGGTATTCAGGGCACAGACCGTGATCACAAGATACTGCAAATAGATTTTTAGAAAATAGATTTTCCATGTGAACGCAGCCTAAGAGTGTGTTTAGGTCACCATGGTAGTAACTTCACTTTCTTCTTGTGTCCTTTATACGATTATCTCTGAATAAAATGATAAGGGGGCATTTGTAAAAGCAACATAAACTAAATTGACTTATTTATCGAATTAATGGGTACAAAAGATTCTTCAGTGTTATGCAAAATTGTTTTTATATCGATAACAGTAGAAAAAAGAAAATATAGCTTTTTGATATATAAATAAAATTGTAAATTATTTACATAATGCTTTTCACAATTTGAATGTTTCAAGTGCATGCATAATGTAATGTAAAATATTGTTTGTAATATAGAACCAAAGGCCTTTGTAAAGAGAATGCACTCTATACGGTTTATGGGGTTGAAGAAAACATTGTGTGGGATTGTATCAGTTAGATTATGTTACAGAAGAAATTGAATGACAGGTTTGCAAAATGACAGAATGTATGACAATTCTCAGAAAATTAACTAATAATGCTGATTTTAAAACTCATCTTGGCTTTTCACCAAAATAAAGCCCTCAAGCAAATTCAAAATGACACAAGCCAGCATAAGATGCATATATGTACATACAACCTATCAGTTTAAACAAGAAGACAGACAAAATAATAAAGCTTCACATAAAAAATTCACTTTCCTGCAAAAATGTTACAAAGGTAACATTGCTACCCAGTGGTGACAGAAAATGTGTACTCTTCCTGCTCCGACTCACATGGGGGTGACAAAAGTAAATATGTGATAGGTGTTATTATAGGCTCTGTTCTCACAACTTTTAGATCGATCTATCACCGCGGGGAGTCTCACTAGATTACTGTCAGATAATCCGCCTTAAGTGTCCGTCCCCGCCTACTACAAGCTATAAGGGGTAATTAACTTTCGTGTCCGCCCGGCTGACAGCTATTTAGCGTGAACCCCCAGGGAGTTAGGTCGATCCAATGTAGGTCGATCTAATCTATGAGAATGGGGTGATACTTTATTACCTCTCACAAGGCAGCTATGCTTATTCCCATAAGTTTGTGGGTTTATCTGTGGAGAGCATTTCGCAAAAAGGCACAGACAGATTTTGATGAAACTTTCAGGATAGGTCACAAATGGGCCAAGGATGAAATGATTAAATTTTGGTGATATGAAATAAATCAAACCATGGATTCATTATGTACTGGTTTTGGTGAAATTTTCAGGATAGGTCATTAATGGGCCAAGGAAGATATGATTAGATTTTGGTGATGATTAATTAATAAGGGAATGTCTTAATGATATTAATGTCTGCGGGATATATATATATGTTTTCTTAAATAATTTTTTTTACATCCATAGTTTACACTATTGCATCCATATTAAGATATTTAAAATGACAGGTACCCTTGTTAATTTTGTTGCAATGGTGATTGGAACTCCGATTTCAATTACTGTTGAGCCCTTTGGGAAACTTAAATTAATTTTGCACATATTTTCAATTTTCTTCACAGATGAAGTGCTTTTATTGTCCATATCACTTACACGGAGTTTCAGTTTATATGGCAGACATGAATGAAAAAAAAATTGATAGGTACACTTGTACCTTTTGTTGCTATGGCAACTTGTTTTAGGATAAAACTGATTTTTTCCAATTTTTAGTACATTTTCAAAGTTTACTTTGCAAGCAAAGCATTTTCAAACTCACCACAATATCTGTTGACTTTATGTTTAAATATAGATCAAGGATTTCCATAATTGAAAAGCATTTGTGAAGCAATTTTAGCCAGCCTGTTAACTTCAATTTTTGTGTACTGCTACATCACCAGATTGCCAGCTATAGCTGCTGACGCAATGCGCAACAAAAAGATGTTAATGTATGACGTTGTTGCACAGTAGCATAAGGACACTACCTTAAGTAATAGGTAATTACTAATTTATTATTTGTCTTGTAGGAAGTTGCGTTTTCCGAGTGCTTTTCTAGTTAACGATATGTTCCTGGTAACAGGTGATTGGTGATAATATGCCCCCTGGACCAGTGAGCGTCATTACAAAGGAATAACAAGGTGCATGGTTGCAGTCAACATTACATTTGTTACCAGGACAACACATGCTGTGGGTGCTAAGAGGAACTCATTAGCACAGAAATAACACTGAATATTACATACTTTTTTGGCCTCTTATCAGGGTATTAATGATGCTCATGCAGTGACACATTTTATTTAACAATAAACACATGGTGTGACCAATGAATATATAAATGAATTGTGGATTTGTAAACCCCCAAATTATCACAAAATCAATTTGTACAAATAAATAGAATATTTTGCACATTTAACAAATATTTACAATGCTCCCCAGAATGCTCTACAACTACAATTTTCATAGGCTTATGCAAAACTGGCAGACACAGCAAAACATTGCAAAAATACAAAGAGAACAAAAACAATCAAGTTTGTAAAAATAAACAGATCATGCTGATGTTTGAAAAGAGCCTGCTTTTCTGTTACAATAAAGATATAAATATAAGCAAAACTGAAGTAAAACAAAAACATTTCGGGATTAACATTGCCAAAATAAATGTGTAAAAATGCCATCTCTCCATTATACTTTTGACCATAACACACGTTATCTTTGATAAAAATACAGTTGAATAAATTGAAGGAATCTAATATCTGGTTTCCTTTTTCACTCTGTTTGTTCTTGTGTCTTGGTAGTCATGTAGCAAAGCTGCCATGCTTAACCGGTTCTCTCTCTCATTTGCCTTCCCAAACATAAAATAGGTGTCTCCTAAATTCAATTCTATTTGAAAAGAATTCAAAAATGGAACAAGCGGATCTTGTCCTAATTCCTCTGTTTGGAATGGAAACAATGATTCTGAAAGAGAGAAGTATCTGGTTATTGGGGAGTAGGTTCTTTTATATGGCAGCATGGCAAGACATGGTGATGTTTTGGGTGAGATGGAGAGAAGGTAGGGGTCACTATTAATGATATTTCACTATTTTTACTTTCAACCGAATAAAAGTTCTTTTTGCATTCTTATCAGTCAGCTGTGTCATCTGTACAATACAAAGCATTTTTAAGTTGGCAATAATTTGGATAATAATTCCAAGTATCTTTGTAGGTTGTGATTCACAAATTTACTGTCAAAAGTGAAACAATATCATTATCTATGGTTGATACACATGTGGAGAGAGAGAGAGAGAGAGAGAGAGAGACTTACTAAGAGGTCTTCCATTGACAGTAAAAAACACTGCTCCATGAGGCAGCAGTAATCCACAACCCACTGTCAAGGGATTCAAATCTGATGGCTCCAACTACAACACAATAAGTTGCAAAAACCATATAAAAGCAATAGTATGTACATACCATTTTTCAGTTGAAAAACAGTAATTGTCTAGGGCTGCTTAAATCATGCTGAAGAAATTACAGGGATATTAACGCATTTGTTTTACCTGTAACATATTTCCACTGGGCAGTTCCAGTTGCTTGCTGTGTACAGTGCATGTCACTTGCTGTGGAGGTAAATGCCACTCTGCCATGGAACTCAGACCAAAGACAAATGGAATTTCAGTTGCTGAGTTCAGAGTTACTTCATAATAAAGGGAAGGCAATGGATGATAGTCTTCTTCATCCAACATGAAGACAAAATCACGGGCATAACCAAGCAACTGAAACATAAAAAAAAAGGACTCGTAACTAACAGCTAGTACATCTTGAAGTCAACGTTGTTTACTTTAAGGAACACTCCACTGGATTTTACCAACCAAAATGAATTTCCTGGGGTAAATGTATTTGGGGGGGGGGGGGGGTAATGAAGTTTACATATTAACTGTAAAATATTTCAGAGGTAATCACCCATATTGCAGCATTTTTCTTGTTAATGTTTCATAATAACTGGACCATATTTATGTTACCATGATGCTCTACATGCTCAAATAGCAGGATCCATTCTGATGCTCAGCTGTTTAAGAAAAAATTATTGATTTTCCTGGAAATTTTGGCAATATTCCTCTAAAGAGTAAGGTAAAGTGTAGATCTTCACTGACACTTATTTCATTCCACATTTATGAAATAGTGAACTTAGTATCTTATTTATCCCACTGTCACTGTTAATTTCAAGTTACTGTTAGTTTGTGTGTGACCAATACTACAGCCAACTGAATACACATCACTTAGGTATTTGGAATGAATTTTTTTTTTGGTTAAAAAAAACATTTAAACAAGACATGACATCAAAAGCGAAACACTTATACCTCTTCTTTTTATACTGCTTGCCAAGTATGTCCTTTTCATAACATTTCCTTCTTACTGGGAATATTGATGTATGAGAAGGAAAATTTACTGGGCCATCTGACAACTAAACAAAAGGGTCTTAAGGCAGGGTTACTCTCTGATAAAGCAACGTTAGCTAGGCCATGCTTGAAAATTGGGCAATTTCACTGCAGTTTTTTTCTCATATTAGATATCTCAATTGGATTTATGAGAAGATGATTTAGAATCATAGGGATTTTGTTTGTTGTTTTTTTTTTTACTAGTCTGAAAATAAAGGTTATCTATGCTATCTGAAAAGTTTTCATCAAATTAATAAATGGTTTATTCATGTAAGAGTATACAATCTGTTCCGAATAGAAATGTGAAATAGTATTTTCATCTTGAGTGGCATTGGTTTAAGTTATTTTCACCTGGTAAAAAACAACAGATAGACAGCAACCACAACAGGGACAACAAGGACAGACACAGTGATTAGAATACATATAATATAAAGTAATAGTTTATGAAAGTGGACAGGCTGATAACAAAAACACCCATACTTTCAGGGGGCCTTAAATGTTATTGACTTCATTAAAAAAGATAGCTATATCAGGTAAAACAACGGTAAAAATTGCCAGGTTTTGATTGGAACACTACCAGGAAAAATCCTGTAATTAATGAGGTCATCACCTTGGTTTACCTTTGTTATCTCTGCCGCTTTATTTGACCTTGATTGTTCTCAGAATAATTTGGGGTTGAAACTACCCTCTACCAGGGTAAGAGATTGATTTTTCACAAGATATTCAATGATATGTCTTAAGATAAATAGACAGTCATTTGGTTCTCTGCCTTTTTGGAATTTGCCTATAATATCTGCCACCCTAGTGGAGGGTAGGTTAAAACCATTCATGGAAAATGTGTCAGGAAAGGTGATGAACATACATCCATATCTTTGATTTAGTTTTATTATCATAATTTTTCACAGAAACAAACATAACCCCCTGGGTAAGAGAAATTCTAAATATTCATTGTGGGATCAAACACTTGGTCCTGATAAATTTTATAAATTTTTTTTTTTCAACTAGAAATGTCACATGTTAACATTTTTGGCTATCTACACTATTTCCAATGGTACTGTTAGCTTACTTAGTACCAGAAACCAACCCATCAGATTTAAATCTCTGATTCAGATGCTATAAGTAAATTTGAAGATAAACAAAAATATAGGTTGTTGGCAGTTATGGGGTAATGGTAGATAGAAAGCAACAGTATTCGTGAAGGAGACACCATGGACAAATACAGCGATCAGAATATATACAGACACTTACAGTGTCTTTTTATTAAATTGTACAGATTGATTAAAACACACAGACACACACATTATAGGGGCCTCAATTGTTACTGACTACGTGAAAAAGGATTGTTATTTCAGGTAAAACAAAGGTAAAGGTTGCCAACATTCTGATAGGTGCACTACCAGGAAAAAAACTTCAGGTTACAGACTGTATTTGATCAAAGTTTGGTAATGAAATGCCTTGTAATCTTGCCAAACAAAGAATCTGATGCTTTGACATATAAATATTTTCTCATTAAAATTCTTCATTAATGATAGCATTTGATTTCTTTTTACTTTTCTTTACAAGCTGAAACACATTAAAAAAACAACTCAACAACTAAATCCTACCTTATCCCTTATTTGACCATCTTCAAGATAACCAGTCTCACCCATCTCAGACTTGCTCAAACAACTGACAGAAGCATAGCCATCAGGTTTTGCATATCTGAAGTGAAATTCCAATAACAAATTAAGAGCTAAAATATCCAATTTTAGGCAAAATGAAGTTTCTAAGTAGGAAAAAGATATTGCAATACACTATAGAATTATCAAAATACGTGTATTTTGAATTTGTTCATCATTTAATTAGATGTTTTTAACAAGCAAATCAAAATATTGTATGTCTTGAATCCAGAAAATGGCAGCCACTTTGGATTTTTCAATCCTGGATAAAATTTCAAAAAGCATAAGTTATTTATTCATAATTCATTTTCATAACTAGTGCAATAAATCCTTGACTATGTATTCTGAGATGTTTTATAGTAAGTGTTACCTGCTCATATAAAATAACAAATCCATTTTATATGGTTGCTATCTTGGCTAAGAGTCATCTGTGTTCAAATATATAATTTTAAGACAAAGTAACTAGTATTATTATAATTGAAAATAAAGACTTCAACTAATTAAAATCCATCAATACATGTAAAATATTTCTAATTTTAATTTAATAAAATAAAATTTAAATTCAGGCATTTGTATTTTAATCAAGAAGAAAGAAGAATGGCCGCCTTCTTTGATTTGGTAGCCTAAGTAGTTGTGGCCAGTGCAAATTTTGATAATATTTAATTTTTAAACAACTTTAAAACCAGTTTTTGTATTTATATGAGAAATGAATACAGTGGTGGCCAACTTGAATTTTGCATATTTCTGGTACAAACAGACCGATTTACAAAATTACCATTTCAATGATAACCTCTACCATGAATGAAATACTTGTACTTTCCAAATGGAGTTGGTATTTTGAAATCCAAGGCAAATTCCAACATACAAGCTTAGATCTAAAGAAAGATCTAAAGAAGATCTAAAGATTAAAGAAAAAAGAAAAGTCAAACTCGTATATAATGTAATGTAATACTTTTGATTATATGTGGGAATAAAATTAACTAACTAATGAATAAATGCAATGAACCATGGATTGGGAGTTCTAACAGTCTTGACACTGATCTAAACCTTTCTCTGAGAAATCATTAAGTGCTACGTAGCTATTAAGGAATGAAATAATGATATGAAATTAATAACTGTTGAAATAAGCTTTTTATTTATATGCAACAGGTATATCTTGGTTGGTTTAGAAGATAGCCATAGCCATATCCCCCCCCCCCCCCCCCATCATTAATGTACATGATGAAAGATTTCATGGATTGCCTTTAATTCAGAAGGTCATCACCCAGTATGTAAGGCAAAATATTTTCTGTGAATAGTTACAACCCAGTTCATAGGATAATTCCTATGATGAGCATGCAAGGCCAATTAAAGTGGACAAGATTACGAAGGTTAACCCAGCTTTAACAACTTTAATTGGCCTTTCATGTTCATCGTAGGAATTATCCTATAAACTGGGTTGTAACAATTCGGGGAAAATATTTCAGGAAAGCTGATAAGATGATTCTACCTGATAATCTTATTGCTAAATATACTCTTGTAAATTCTTATCTTTATTCAAGTGCAGATAAAAGTGAAACTCTGCCTATAGTCAAAGTCCAACTGAAAATGCTATAAAATAAGAATCTCCCTTATTTAAAATTCAGCAAATCACCTGGAAGATACAGTATGGCATGAACTCAATCATTTTAATGCTAAAATATCTGGACTGCTACAAATAAGGAAAAAGCTTAATTAATAAAAGTACAGAGGAGCTAATTAATAAGCTTTGAAATGAAACTTTCATTAGGGTAAAAAACAAAGTAGGTGTCCTAAATTTATAATTACAATCAATGTTTAAAACCCAGATATCTTATTGCTGAAATGGACTTAGAAATTGAAACTCACATAGTTCGAGGATGTACTTCATGGCATCAATGTAGGTTTCTTGTAAGTTTTCTTGATTCAATTTTCTTCCTTAGTCAGAAACTTTATAAATACCAACCNGGGGGGTAATGAAGTTTACATATTAACTGAAAATTATTTCAGAGGTAATCACCCATATTGCAGCACTTTCCTTGTTAATGTTTCATAATAACTGGACCACATTTATGTTACCATGATGCTCTACATGCTCAAATAGCAGGATCCATTCTGAAAGGATGCTCAGCTGTTTAAGAAAAAATTGATTTTCCTGGAAATTTTGGCAATATTCCTCTAAAGTGTTAGATTAAGTGTAGATCTTCACTGGCACTTATTTCATTCCACATCCATGAAATAGTGAACTTAGGGTGCATTCCCAGAGATTTAGATCGATCCAGAGATTTAGATTTAGATCGACCTAACTCCTTGGGGGTTCATGCTAAATTGCAGTCAGCCGAGCGCGCACCATAGTTAATTACCCCCTAACAGCTTTTAGTAGGCGGGACAGACGCTTAAGCCAGCTAAGCTGATGGTAATCTAGTGAGACTCCCCACAGGGATAGATTGATCTAAAGTCTATGGGAATGGGGTCTTAGTATCTTATTTATCCCACTGTCATTGTTAATTTCAAATAAATGTTAGTTTGTGTGTGACCAATACTATAGCCAACTGAACACACATCACTTAGTAAGTTGGAATGAATTTTTTTTGGTTAAAAAACATTTAAACAAGACATGACATCAAAAGCAAGACACTTATACCTCCTCTTTATATACTGCTTGCCAAGTATGTCCTTTTCATAACATTTCCTTCTTACTGGGAATATTGATGTATGAGAAGGAAAATTTACTGGGCCATCTGACAACTAAACAAAAGGGTCTCAAGGCAGGGTTACTCTCTGATAAAGCAACCTTAGCTAGGCCATGCTAGAAAATTGGGCAATTTCACTGCAGTTTTTTTTCTCATATTAGATATCTCAATTGGATTTATGAGAAGATGAATTAGAATCATAGGGATTTTGTTTGTTTGTTGTTTTTTTTTACTAATCTAAAAATAAAGGTTATCTATGCTATCTGAAAAGTTTTCATCAAATTAATAAATGGTTTATTCATGTAAGAGTATACAATCTGTTCCGAATAGAAATGTGAAATAGTATTTTCGTCTTGAGTGGCATTGGTTTAAGTTCTTTTCACCTGGTAAAAACAAAAGATAGACAGCAACCACATCAGGGACAACAAGGACAGACACAGTAATTAGAATACATATAATATAAAATAATAGTTTATGAAAGTGGACAGACTGATAAGAAAAACACCCATACTTTCAGGGGGCCTTAAATGTTATTGACTTCATTAAAAAAGATAGCTTTATCAGGTAAAACAAAGGTAAAAATTGCCAGGTTTTGATTGGAACACTACCAGGAAAAATCCTGTAATTAATGAGGTCATCACCTTGGTTTACCTTTGTTATCTCTGCTGCTTTATTTGACCTTGATTGTTCTCAGAATAATTTGGGGTTGAAACTACCCTCTACCAGGGTAAGAGATTGATTTTTCACAAGATATTCAATGATATGTCTTAAGATAAATAGACAGTCATTTGGTTCTCTGCCTTTTTGGATTTTGCCTATAAAGTATAATATCTGCCACCCTGGTGGAGGGTAGGTTAAAACCATTCATGGAAAATATGTCAGGAAAGGTGATGAACATACATCCATATCTTTGATTTAGTTTTATTATCATAATTTTTCACAGAAACAAACATAACCCCCTGGGTAAGACAAATTCTTAATAATCATTGTGGGATCAAACACTTGGTCCTGATGAATTTTACAAATATTTTTTTTTCAACTAGAAATGTCACATGTTAACATTTTTGGCTATCTACACTATTCCAATGGTACTGTTAGCTTACTTAGTACCAGAAACCAACCCATCAAATTGAAATCTCTGATTCAGATGCTATAAGTAAATTTGAAGATAAACAAAAATATAGGTTGTAGGCAGTTATGGGGAATTGTAGATAGAAAGCAACAGTATTCGTGAAGGAGACACCATGGACAAATACAGAGATCAGAATATATACAGACACTTACAGTGTCTTTTTATTAAATTGTACAGATTGATTAAAACACACAGACACACACATTATAGGGGCCTCAATTGTTACTGACTACGCGAAAAAGGATTGTTATTTCGGGTAAAACAAAGGTAAAGGTTGCCAACATTCTGATAGGTGCACTACCAGGAAAAAAACTTCAGGTTACAGACTGTATTTGATCAAAGTTTGGTAATGAAATGCCTTGTAATCTTGCCAAACAAAGAATCTGATGCTTTGACATTTAAATATTTTCTCATTAAAATTCTTAATTAATGATAGCATTTGATTTCTTTTTACTTTTCTTTACAAGCTGAAACACATTAAAAAAAACAACTCAACAACTAAATCCTACCTTATCCCTTATTTGACCATCTTCAAGATAACCAGTCTCACCCATCTCAGACTTGCTCAAACAACTGACAGAAGCATAGCCATCAGGTTTTGCATATCTGAAGTGAAATTCCAATAACAAATTAAGAGCTAAAATATCCAATTTTTGGCAAAATGAAGCTTCTAAGTAGGAAAAAGATATTGCAATACACAAAAGAATTATCAAAATACATGTATTTTGAATTTGTTCATCATTTAATTAGATGTTTTTAACAAGCAAATCAAAATATTGTATGTCTTGAATTCAGAAAATGGCAGCCACTTTGGATTTTTCAATCCTGGATAAAATTTCAAAAAGCATAAGTTATTTAGTCATAATTCATTTTCATAACTAGTGCAATAAATCCTTGACTATGTATTCTGAGATGTTTTATAGTAAGTGTTACCTGCTGATATAAAATAACAAATCCATTTTATATGGTTGCCATCTTGGCTAGGAGTCATCTGTGCTCAAATATATAATTTTAAGGCAAAGTAACTAGTATTATTATAATTGAAAATAAAGACTTCAACTAATTAAAATCCATCAATACATGTAAAATATTTCTAATTTTAATTTAATAAAATAAAATTTAAATTCAGGCATTTGTATTTTTATCAAGAAGAAAGAAGAATGGCCGACTTCTTTGATTTGGTTGCCTAAGTAGTTGTGGCCAGTGCAAATTTTGATAATATTTAATTTTTAAACAACTTTAAAATCAGTTTTTGTATTTATATGAGAAATGAATACAGTGGTGGCCATCTTGAATTTTGCATATTTCTGGTACAAACAGACACTTTGTTAAGCAGGAAACAAGCTGGAAAGAAAAATTCAGGTTCTGAACTACAGCAATCAATCATAAAACTTTTTCTTGACAGGGGTGCAACCAAATTGGATTTTGGGCCGTCAGCTAGACAGACTTATTACAAATATTTAAGGATGAAGACAGGGGGGTGCCAGGAATATGACTATTTTCTTAACCAACCAAGATATGCCATCATGTTGCATATCAATAAAAGGTTATTTTAACAGCTATTCATTTCATATCATTATTTTATTACAAAATGGTTAGTACATAAGGAGATGAAATGTTTAATAGGTTTTCTTAGCCTGATCTTTATACCCTAAAAACTAAAAGTCCGCTACAAGTCCATTAATTTTAATAGCATATTTCATTAGCCCCCCTTTGGCATCAATAAAAATGTGTCTCAAATTACCAAAGAAATCCCCATTTACAAAATTACCATTTCAATGATAACCTCTACCAGGAATGAAATACTTGTACTTTCCAAATGGAGTTGGTATTTTGAAATCCAAGGCAAATTCCAACATACAAGCTTAGATCTAAAGAAAGATCTAAAGAAGATCTAAAGATTAAAGAAAAAAGAACAGTCAAACCCGTATATAATGTAATGTAATACTTTTGATTATATGTGGGAATAAAATTAACTAACTAATGAATAAATGCAATGAACCATGGATTGGGAGTTCTAACAGTCTTGACACTGATCTAAACCTTTCTCTGAGAAAACATTAAGTGCTACGTAGCTATTAAGGAATGAAATAATGATATGAAATTAAAAACTGTTGAAATAAGATTTTTTAATTTATATGCAACAGGTATATCTTGGTTGGTTTAGAAGATAGCAAAAGCCATATTCCCCCCCCCCCCCATCATTAATGTACATGATGAAGGATTTCATGGATTGCCTTTAATTCAGAAGGTCATCACTGAGCATGTAAGGCAAAATATTTTCTGTGAATGGTTACAACCCAGTTCATAGGATAATTCCTATGATGAGCATGCAAGGCCAATTAAAGTGGACAAGATTACGAAGGTTAACCCAGCTTTAACCACTTTAATTGGCCTTTCATGTTCATCGTAGGAATTATCCTATAAACTGGGTTATAACAATTCAGGGAAAATATTTCAGGAAAGCTGATAAGATGATTCTACCTGATAATCTTATTGCTAAATATACTCTTGTAAATTCTTATCTTTATTTTAGCCTCCTTCGTCTTACTTTTCATAGAACCAAATATGAACCTGGGTTATTAACGATCTATAAACGTTCATTAAGGGACCAAACACTTGTTTCTGATGAATTTCATGACCAATTAGACTTGAATAAAAATTTCTGAATTCAGTGATTCTTCTGAAAAACCTCATGTCTGTATTTTATTTTTAAAATTCATTCAAAGTTAATTTACTTTTTCTGGAACAATAAAAGCAACTATACGTGTGTATTTTCCTATCACATATAAATATGGGCTCTAATTATGACCTGTCACCTTTGTTCACCAATCTAATATACTATCGTCTGAGTAGAATTTTGATTTGGTTTATATAAATCTCCAGTGGGAAAAGGTGAGTCAGAAACAGTAATTGGAACACCTCAACCAAAGAGACTTGACACATACATCATTCCTCCAAAACAACAGTAAGAATCAGGAAACAGTAAGTCAGACAACACACACTGTAACTTCTAAAATTCAAGTGCAGATGAAAGTGAAACTCTGCCTATAATCAAAGTTCAACTGAAAATGCTATAGAATAAGAATCTCCCTTATTTAAAATTCAGCAAATCACCTGGAAGATACAGTATGGCATGAACTCAATCATTTTAATGCTAAAATATCTGAACTGCTACAAATAAGGAAAAAGCTCAATTAATAAAAGTACAGAGGAGCTAATTAATAAGCTTTGAAATGAAACTTTCATTAGTGTAAAAAACAAAGTAGGTGTCCTAAATTTATAATTACAATCAATGTTTAAAACCCAGTTATCTTATTGCTGAAATGGACTTTGAAATTGAAACTCACATTGTTCAAGGACGTACTTCATGGCATCAATGTAGGTTTCTTGTAAGTTTTCTTGACTCAATTTTCTTCCTTAGTCAGAAACTTTATAAATACCAAACCATCCAATCAATATGATCTTAAAATTGGTGAACCAAAGTGGCAGATTCAGGTCAATTTCCCCTGTCTGTATCATTTCCTGTGGATTTTTTTCATAATCTAAAATATCTGCCACTAAATAATCTATTACACATATATGAAAACAAACCAGCTAAAGCTGACATTATACAGACAATCTTTAACCATATAAATATACATATAAAAGAGTGAAAATTTAATGCAGCAATATACAAATTGTGGGCCTTACACCAAGCCCCAAACCTCTTCTGTAAAAACAGGGCAAAAATTATTGAAAAAATATTGAATCAACGAAAATAATTTTATCTGGTTGTTTTCAAGCACCGGCTATATCTTAGTCCAGTGAATCATTCTTGTCAGTATGAAAATGACAAGTAACATGCTTAAACTTAATGGTTTATGATAAAATTGTGCAAAATGTTTTATTTTTTCAATTTTGATGCAATATTACATATTCATTAACAGAGCTAGAGGATCAAAATATTTGACAAGGGTTTATTTCAACACGCTGGTGGTATTAATAATCAAACATTTCAAATTTGGTACTAAAGTTATTGTGAGCACTCAGAAAATGTAACTCAAACAGAGCTTCAGACACATTAGAAATCAAATTATACCTTGAGAATGCCAATGTGTGAAAATTCACAAAAAATAGACTAAACTTCCTTGATGTTGTGGTGTTAAACAAGTTAAGACATTATTACTGGCTTATTCTGCAATCCTGCAGGCATACATCAGTTCTTAGGCTTAAAAAGTTGTGCCAGCTTTCCTACTCTCTGACCGCAGGTTCCACAAGTAGTCTGTTACAAAATTATTGTATCGCACCCTGGGAGATTTCATGTAATCAACGGGAATGTGCTTTTAGCTTGGAGTACCCTTCATATCTGTCAGTGAGGGGTGATTTCGCACCTATGTGGTTAGTAGCGCACATCCCTGTCTATGTTACGTAATAGTACTAATACAAGTAAAACAAGGCCTCGGATTTACACCAGATGCCTAGATTCTGCTGAGCCACCATTTAAGGGGTTATAGGGGTGGTGAAGTAACATAAACTCAGATGAGGTGGTTAGGTGTTTTCCCACAGGGGCCTTAACTTAAATTTTGTATGCTATTTTAGAGGCCTCTGGTAACACAGGGTACACATTTCCCACATAAGGAAGAACATACAATGCAATTAGACCAGAAGGATTTGCACCATAGTTACTGATTGAAGAAGACATAAAAAGCAAATACTTTAGGAATTAAAATGTCAAACTTAGGCAACAAAATTATAAATGAATACACAATAGATGCCATCTTTTTGCAACTTACTTGAATGGTGAACTCCCAAAATTTACTCTGACTTGTTGCTCTGTGGAGACAGAAACAGCAGGAAACCAAATCTTGCTGAGGTCCAGTCCTGAAAATAAAAACTGAATTTTACCAGAGAAGAACATGAATACTTTGGCATGTAATATACTTCATATTATATATAATACATGGCTATTATCTATGTGTTACCTTAGTACATGTTTTCAAGTAGAAATTTTAAAAAGTATAAAATCAAGAATATTAAACTCATATAATCAAAACAAATAGTTTAACCCACCATCCAGGTAGTGACTTAGAAAAACTTTTGTGGTATAAAATGTTTAGACATAAAAAATTCCACAATCCACCGATGACTCATGCATCACAAACAAAGAATACTTTTTAGGCAATACTATAATTCTGGTTATGTGAACCTTACTTAAAGAAAAAAATAGGAGTTTTATAATAAAAAAGATGATGTTTAACCATCAAGTATCCTTGTATTTTTCCACATTGCCATATGTAACTCATCCCCAGGAACCCCACCAACATGAATATTTATTCCCCTGCCTTGGTATTGATTAATAATAATAAATATCATAATTAACACATAAGAAATCTGTCTTCATGCATGGAGTATCACTGAAAAAATTCATGTGAAATTAAAAATAGAATCTACCATCGCCAAAGACAGCATTAACTGCAGTTTCTCTAAAATTCTGAAAGGTCATGCATTTTGATAATGATAAATCTATCAATCCCCAAAGTTTCAACAACCTTCTTCTAATGGTCTAGGTAATACTGGATATTACATAAGCACAAACAATGGATGGATAGATGGATGGATGGATAGGTGGATAACATGATCCTTGACTTTTGTCACAGAAGTTTGCTCTTTTTAAAAATAAATTTTCTTCAAAAGACATTTATAATCCCAATATAATAGGTGTTGCAAAGTACCATGAAAAGTAATCACCTTAATAAAAATAATCTGATCATGCTGTTTTTCAAACTTGGCTTCAATTGATATTATGTAGAACCTTCCAGAGAATAAATGGAAAAAAAAAGATATGTTTTAGTATATATGAAGAGAACAAAACCACAATTGGAAGGCAAAGGGCAAAATCTGTACATGACTTAAGTAAAAAAAAGCATTGTCCAATCTGCAAGAAAACTAAAAAGATGTTGACAAGTGGAATTTCTGAGGTTGTTGGATCAATAAAATAGTGGTATCTACAAAATGTCAACCTTTCAGCTGTTCAACCTCATATTTCCTATATCTTATTTCAGAAATATGAGTGAAAAGACTTGCGTTGCACGAACAAAATCAAATCAAGCATACCAAAAGACAAATTATACACAATACCAGCTTGAAGACAAAAGTTCAAATTGTAATGGGCATTTTTCTTCAGCATGACCCTGTAAGTTTTGGCCAGATGGAAGTAATTATTTCTACATGCACGGAAGTGCTTTTGTATTTTTGCTGCAGTAGCTCGTTTAGCACTTATCTGTCCGATAAACATGCCACGTGGTTAGGAGCAGTTGGATGTCAACTTGATCGGTTAATGAACCTACTGTAATGAATCCCAGATTAAAAACCACACTTAAAAAAACAAAAACAAAACAAAACAAAACAAACAAACAAACAAAAAAAAAAAACAACAAAACAATTGACTAACTTTGGATGTTGGAACGCATTCATTAACCAATGGAAAGTATGGACAAGTTTTTTCTTTTATCCCAGGAAAATTTGTTTTATGGCACTTTTCCAGTGAAAATGAAAAGTTGTTGTCCCTTTAACTATTCATAACACCATGGGATATTTACATCTTTTTAAACATGAGCTGTACATGTGTTGGCCTAAATGTTTACTTTTTTAAGTTAAAGTTGTAGTGCAAACCTCTAAGATTAACAAAGTTGCTGTCATATTTCACCTCTATGCAAAGTTATAGAAGTCTCCCAATTTTTTTGTCAATATAATTATAATTCTAAAAAGTCCATCTTTTTAAAGTGTTTACATGAAAGTTCAAGTACATGTCTCTCAAGACACGGTTTTTGAAGAAAAAAAAATACTCAAACCACATTCTTGCATAAAATAGAACACAAACATGCTTCACTCTATTTGGACAGTTAAGTTAACACTCACCAGTAAAGGCCACCCCCAGATCTTTTCCATTTAACCAAAATGACACCTGACCATCTCTGGACAGACAACAGCTGATCATGTCCCCATCACTCCATTCTTCCCCATAATTATTGTCCTGAATAGAAATAACATATTAATCAGAACTGCTGTACTACTATGACTACTGCTACTATTTCTGCTGCTGCTATTGCTGCTGCTGTTACTGCTTCTGCTGCTACTAGATGATGATTTAATTCAAAAATTGCAGTTCGGATATTGAAGTTTTACAATTAATGCATTAATCATTAAAAACCCATTACACATCAAGCTTTAAAATAGTTTTGTGAGTTGACCAAAAGGTTAATACAATTTGAGCCAACATCTTAAAGAAACTCAAAATGTACTGCTTCACTTTTGGCTTCACAAACTTGGTATCCCTAAGCTTTCTCTTATTTCTTTCCTAAAGTAAATGATTAGACTTTTCCAGTCTTGTAAAGGGCATAATTGTAACTAAAACTTGGCAAAATCATTTTTAGAGATTTATTTTTCCTTTGAAAAGACTTTTACTATTTGCAATGTTTGAATGTAAAGTAGTGCATGCCTTATGGAGAGAGCTGTCTACAGTAATTTTCTATATTACTAATGCAGAACTAGGCTTCTCATTAAGCACAGTATCACAGGGATTAGACCTAACAATTGAGAAAAGGCCAATTAACTTACAAATATTGATTGTGAAATACTAAGTTCACTCATGATTCAAAAGGGTTGTCTCCAATATTTCTAGAATTAGACTATATACAACAGGAAAGATATCTTTTGGAAAAAAACTTTATAAATCTAATCACAATGAGGAATTGGATTCTCAGCCCCTTTTTGGAGTTCAGAAAACATACAATGATTAATGATACTTGATAGTAAAAGACCATTAGGCTTCTGTTATGTATTTATGAGGTAAGGTTAATAGTTCTTGAAATTAAGTTAAATTATCACAACAAACTGTATGAATTATAATATGTGGTAGGTGTTTATAATTATTATTTTGGTTTTCGTGCATGTTTGACATTTTTGTAGTTTGTACTGTCAATTGTATGGTATATTACATGTAGCTTCTATATATTCCTTTATCTGTTGTTTGCTGTAAGTTCATTGCCTCCTGTCAACATATTAAATACAATGTATTAGAAGTCTAACCTCCAGTTCAGTTATTGATCCATTCCACTTCTTACATCTTCCACCATCAAATGCACATGAGTTTTTATCATCTCCAACGCCCAACCCCTTTTCTGGCTGGAAGACACAGCTTTCATTGGCAAAACCTATCTGGATTATGCTGCTAGACTTAATGTTGACCTGAGGAAAAAAATCAGTTTGTTGTTCAATTCCAGAGTACGTACAAAGAAGTTGAGTCATTCTGGATAATCAGATCTCTCTCTCTCTCACACACACACACACACACACACACACACACACACACACACACACACACACACACACACACACACACACACTTTTTAAATGAGCAATGGCATGAACAGCTAAATGTATTAGTTAGAAAATGTATAATGTGCCCTCATCCTGATGTGCAACAAATAACATGTTGGGAATCACTATTAAAAGATACCAAACCACTATGTATATGTAACTAAGCTACATACAGACTTGAAGGACAGATAAAAACATATCCTTCTATTCTTGCCATGTTTTCCATTCCAAAGGAGCAAATGCAAACAAATGTTGATGTCTATATATTATCTTAGTCAAAGTACAAAAACAAATTTCTCACCATCAGCCAGGGACTTAATTTGTATAAAAAAACCAAAATTGAAAAAATGTACTCTTGTGTTTGTGTCTAGGCCATACCACATAGTTTTGAAATCCATATCCCCTTTTCTCATCCTTAAACAAGTTACTGATACTTTTATTGTCCTTTGCAGTTAAAAATTACCAATTATTTTTCTTCTTTATCCTTTTCATGGGGTATGACGAGAACAAAGTCTTAAGTAGGGGAAAACACCATGGGAAGTTCAGCTTTACCTCATAATACCATCCCATAGGCAAGGAGTCTTTATACTCATTCTGGGAACAAAGTTTGATCCCATGGGATGCTCTTATACTTTCAAATGTCCACGTGTCATTTCTAATCTGAAACAAACATAATCAGGTCAATTCAACATCTTGTGACTGTTTCAATATTTTGTATACTGACTGGAAGTTGTTGTAGACTAACTGGTGGTGAATAATAATAAACTAATTGTTTATGGTAATCACTCTGAGAATTACTTCTTGTATTTGTATTTGATCATGCCCGGATGTAAGGTGATTGTCAATAAACTTAAAATTGGAATTGTAGAGGGGGTGTGGGGGTGTCCACCTGCTGGTTTTATTGATTTTTAAAATAATCAACATCATCATTTAGGGAGGGGGAGGAGAGGGTTATGTTAGTGTTTAATTCCACATTTCTGTATTTCAAGAATCCAGTTTAAATGTTAGTCTACCCACCTCTAGCTGATCTGCACTGAGCTGCAGCCCTGCAGTCTTGTTCTGATCACTGAGGACTACTGCCTTACTGTGAGAGGACACTGGACAACATAGCCGGGATAATGTTGCACACACTGGGAGCTGTGACAAAAGATATTTGGCTACATCATTTATCAGTTTGAGATTATTCTTTTCACATTTCTACTGTTCAACATAATGATCGATGCTAGATTTTTTGTAAAAAAAAAAAACATGAGAAGGCTTCAATATAGTTACAATTTTAAAATATCAGCACAATCATGTCACTGTTGTTATATTATAACAAAAGTTATAATTTTTTGGTTTTGCAAGCACTTGTGTATTCTCTGCCCTAAAACTGCCGTATTTATCTCTGTTACTGTTACTGTTAGTGGGATTGAAGGAAGAAATGATTAGATTTTGATGATCCATTAATTATTAATTAATTAATTGTAACTTAATTACTTTTCTTGGTGGTGGTTGTGCTCTCTAAGTCTTTTTCTAGTTTTATCTGTTTAAAGCAAATAGGGACATACAGGATGTAGGGGGTACGGTAAAAACTTCAAAATTTAGTCAATTAAAAATTAATCAATATTTTAAATTGCGCAAATCCAAAAAATTTTTCAAAATTAAGTTTAACTTGATTCCTGGGTATGACATAATTTTCAAAACTCCTAAATAAGGGCTTTAATCCTTAAAGGCTTTTATCCTTGTTCCTCATATGTTGTGGGATATTTACCACTACTTCTTATGTCACTCTCTGGTGGTGAATAATAATCTACTTATTAGTGCAACTCAATTTCGTTATATTATATTACCCAAAAAGTAAACTTAGAATTGTTTTCTGGTAAATAAACATACCTCAAGATACAGGGGAGGGATCAAGAAAAGCTTAATTGCAATCTTAAATTATAAACTGGACAAGGCATATTTAACACTACACACTCAAATAGAAACATATATTGCATGCAGGGCATTTCCTAGGATTGGGTGTCAGGCCATCCAAAATTACCATCTGTAACTTCTTACAAAATTTCAGGGCATCCAACCCATCCAAGTGCCATGAGCAGGGAGGGAGGGGGGTATTTAAAATAAAAATAAAATGAAAAAATATATTTAAAAAAATTCAAAGGGGGGAAGGGGTTTCAAAGGGGGAGGGCGTTTAGATCAATAATTAATTGGTAATGATCTCTCACTGATGATCTTCCACGAACTAAGTCTTTAAGTCCCTTGAATAAATATGAAAATTGCCTTCTCATCTCTCTTGCATAGCTAACAATCTCCTGCTAAAGATATGAAAATAACCTTCTCGTCTCGCTCGGATCCCAAACGATCTCCTGCTGATGATTATCCGCAAATGAAGTCCCTTAAACAAATATGAAAATTGCTTTCTCGTCTTGCTCGGATCGCAAAAAAACTCCCACTGTCAGGTGTCATACATATGAAGGTCTGGAAGGTGACCACTTTCATAATTTGGCGCTGAATTTACTCAGACTTCATTTCGTGCCTACAACTATTTTGTACCAAATGTAGATCACTAGGTAATTGTAATAATGCAATGGACATGAATAGAAGTGACGAGTACATTTCACTTCGAGATAATTTCTTGACTTTTTTGCTGTGTCTTCCTCATTTAGGATAGCCATCGGTAACATTGACAGTGTTACAACTGACAAAAAGCCGCGGCATGTGACTTCTATTTACCCACTTGAAAATGCACCTTTTACAAACCCTGTGAATATGAGTTAGGTAACTGTAATGACACAAAAGACAAAAGGATAGATAATGATGGAAACTGCACTGATTCAATCACATTTTCAAAACACAACATCTTAAACATTAAAATCTATCAACATTTCTGTTCTACTTACTGATAACTGGTTTTTCAGAGCAGTTCCTCCACACAAAAGAGTTGACCACATGGTGTGTACAGCTCCAAGGTTGGTAAGCTTATTGCGGTGGACTCTCTGGACAGCTGAGTTAGACAGAGTGACAACACAGTACCTGGCAAGGCTGCTGAAGATCTCCTCATATTCATGCACTTAGAAAATGAAAGTGACAGTATTATTGTATACTCTGAGTATTTGGTCAGTGGCAGTTTTTTCCCTACTGTATCTTCATGTATATATATATGAATATATTTCATTCTCATTTCTCTTATATTTTATGTTCAAGGAATGGTTTTGTAAGATGGCCTTTACATTTACATGACCTATCCAAAAAAAAAAAAAAAAATCTTTAAGTTAAAATGTCCTCTTAAAATGCGTTTGTAAATTTAAGTATTCAAAGTGATATATATGATCCAACAATAACTAATAGAAAGTTGAACTATTGCTTTTTTTGATACTCATAAAAACTGTTAATGCTTCACAAATACAGATGAACACTGAACTTTTGCCTTCTTTGATTCTCATGGCAACTGCTAAATATTTCAATTCTGACTATCCCTTGTAATTATCAATAATTATTACCTTGCTTATTTGACAGGAACTTGGCAAGATTTTAGCAGGAATTCAAATAACAATGTATTCGAAGAAAATTTGTACAGGGTACAAGTAATAATTCACATGTTATTAATAGGTATACGCACCACATAATTATATAACTGGAAAAGCACTCAGAGATCGCACATCTCTGACCACACAGCTTAATTAGCTTTATTATATATCTTTCAATCAAATCACAGATACAGAGCAGAGCCATTTGATAGTTCCATTACTGGCATACCAAAGACAACATAAGGACAAATCAGGGTGACATAAAGTCACACTGTTGTTGACTGTGCTAGTTGTCCAATCACAGTGAGTGGAAGGGGTATCATGGGATAGTTTTAAATTATACACGTTGCATCAGTTGATCCGAGTTAGGTAAACTGCTGACTTTTAAGTGTGTTCAATATTCATGAGAAGCAAGATGGGTGGAGCTACATGTGCATGTGTGACAGGCCAGATAGAGGTAATAGACATAAATGAAGCCAGTTCAGAGCTACGTTTAACAGATATAATAGGCCAGGGTAGATGGTGATCTGGATCACCACCAAAATCTAATCACTTTTAATTTAGCCCATTTCTGACCTATCCTCAAAATTTCAGCCATATCCATTAATTTTGAGCAAGGCAGGTGACAAACAAACAGACAGACAAACAGATGTGAAAACATTACCTCCTTTCTTGGTGGAGGTAAAAACTGTGGATTAAGACTTTGAGCATGTGCCTTCAATTTTCTCAGTTGTCCTCTTCTTATTGTCAATTTACAGATTAAGCATAATTTTATAGCCATATCTTTTCCATTAAACTATCGGTATCCATAACACCATATATTGGTTTTCTGGCAACACAGAGTCAGTAGATGTAACCGTAACAGTGAAACTCACAGAACAGGTTTATATCACTGATAAAGATGCCCCCTTACACCTTACAAAGGGCATTCCCACAGTACTTTTGTACCTTTGGAAAACTGGCTGATGACCACTGATGACTGTCTGCTGCCTATGTTGAGCTGGTTGGTCTGACTGTCGTGAGGAACTGCTGCTCTTTGGTGCACTTCTATTTTTTCACTCGTCTCAAGGAGTCCCTCATCATCCCTGCCCTCCATAATGCCTTGCTGTTCTAAGAGCTCTGACAAACTTGTGTCCAATTCTGTTTCAGTGGGAGTTCTTCCAAGGTCATTAACATCAAGGTTATCTTTTAGTAAATATATAAAAATAAAAAATAATAAGTTTATGCTTTTTAAATATAGCTTATACATTTACTGAAAATGACAGTGACAAGTTATTTATTTAAAGCTATCATAC